CCAGCTCCATGATCTCGAACTTGTGGATTTACCGCGGCCTCTACACCTTGAAACACGAGTACTGGGCCGCGGAGCACTGCTCCTTCGCCGTCCATGTCCTACTCCCGCAGATGGCGGAGCCCTCCGTGCACGACACGGTCGCAAAGGCATGCTGTGTGCTCCATGAGATGGGCGTCCAGAGTGGTGTCTCGGGCCGTGCGGCGGAGTTGCTCCGGGATATCGAGGAGATGGCCGGGGCCAGGGGCATCCGTATTCCGCCGTATGGCAGGGGCGGCTCCAAGTCGTCGGACGTGAATGCCGCGCCCACATTTGTTGTGAAGGGAGCTCGTGTTCTTGATGGTTCTAGGGGAGGGTTCTTCGGTGAAGCGGACGACAACGGCTGTATTGTAAGCTTCGAGCGCACCATTGGCTACATTCAACAAGCGCAGCCTCGCTAAACGTATTAGACCACATGGTGGCGAATTCGTTTCTTCGGCTGAACCTGGCCGATGTTCAACAGAACGCTCAATGTATACGAAGCAAGTCATTCCACAACTGTCGCCGAAGATACCAAGGGGCGGGAAAGGGGGTGGAGGGAAAGGATATATTATACTTAATGAATAAATACAGACAAAAGTCGCAGAGCGGTCCAAAGAAACAGTATCTCCTCATTCCACCGCCCAAAGCCGCTTCCCTTTATGACCGTCGATGCGTCGTCGCGGGCTCAACATCCTCGCCCTGAATCCAAATCCTCTTAATCCTGCGCGTCGCCGATATGTCCACCAAGGGATCGCCGTCAATGAGCAGCAGATCGGCTCTCTGACCGCCCCTGACGACGCCGCGATCGTGGAGCCGGAACGCTGCGGCAGCGACGCAGGTCGCCGAGCGAAGAGCGTCCAGCGGCGTCATGCCCGCGTCAACGAGCAGCTCCAACTCGTCGTGCAGGCTCTCTCCGAAGGGTATCTGTGTGCCGGGCACCAGGTTCGCCGTCGTCCCGGCGCAGATCGTCACCCCGGCCTCGTAGAGCGTGCGCACGCTCGCCGCCGCGTTGTCGTAGCTGCCGCCCGGCATGGCGCCCGGTCTGCTGTGCTGCTGAGACCCGGCGTCAGCAGCAGCAGAGGAGGCATTGTTGTTATCGTCTCGCGGGGTGCGGCCATAGAGGCCTCGGAAAGGGAAGGCAGGCGGCCCGGACGGCAGTGGGTGTGCTTCTCCTCCGTCAACTCCATCGACTCCGTCTGGCGTCGCGCATGTCCGCATCATTCTCAGCGTCGGCACGAAGACTTTCCCTCGGGCGGCCATCTCTCGTGCCAGTGCGGGGTCGAGGGGCGCGTCGAGCGGTGCGTGGGCGAAGACGTCGAAGCCGGCGCGCATGGCGCGCTCGTAGGACGCTCTGCCGGTGGTGCGGGCGATGGTCAGCTTGTTATGGGCGTGGGCGGTTTCGACGATGGCCTTGAGGAGGGAGTCGTTGGGAGGAGAATGAAGGTCGACGACGACCTTGATGAAGTCGGCGCGGTCCGGACCGCTCGCTCTCGCGGCGGCAAAGGCCACGGCTTCTTCAGTCGTGCGTATGACCACCTCGTCCTGGTTGTCGTGGATGTATGGTTGAGGATCCCGTGCCAACACCGCCGTGGTCCCGCAGGTGAAGACGGTTGGCAACCTCGTGCGGCCGGCGGCGTATATGCGCAGGGCCTGGCATTGCTGGGTGTTGCTGCTCGAGTCGATGACGGTCGTGACGCCGTGCGATGCGAAGGTGCCGAGGGCGGCGTTGGCGCCCCTGATGTTGGCGTAGGTGTCTATGAGGCCGGGAATCAGTGTGCACCCTTGCCCGTCAACGACGACGTCGGAAGTCTCGACCGCAGAGCCATCATTCATGGGGCTCTGGATGTCTCCGGCGGACCGAGTGATCACAATATCACTCGGCTCCAAGATAGCTTCGTTATCAAAGACACGAACGTTTTGAATGAGGATTTGGGTCATGTTCTCCCCCCCCCCACTCTGCAAGAAATAGAGATTGTATACACAGCAGCTTGAGTTGTCGTTCAGCAGATCGGCAGGAGGCGCATGCGGTCTTCTCCTCTAGCGTGTTGGTCGGACTTGGGAAAGGGGCTCCGTGATCATGTTTTGCAGTAAGTGCCAGAGACAGACGGGAGTTTGCGGCTGACTACGTTGAGCCTTCTCGCTTTGAGGCCTAACGGGGTACAGGACTCCGTTATGACATAGGTGCGTAGGTGCGCCGGCCCTCGCGTTCAGAGTTGCCGGTTGATACAGCAGTTACAGGGCAGTGACCACACGGCAGTGAGCTTGGGTCCAATCCGCAAAGAATGGCCTCCGTGTGGTGGCCTATATTCAGCATATTCGAGAATGATTCAAGTAAGTCTGTCATGTATTGCCCAACTTAACGGGACTTGGTGCAGCCCTCCGGAGTTTCAGACGCGCGTGGGCGGACTGGACTCTTTCTCCATAACAGCCCGCTTCCCACGTCCGTGGAGCCTGAATACAGACGTATTTTGTCGCCAACAATACCTAAAGACGAACTTAATCGCCCCCATTGATTTTGTTGCCGACGACATGGGTCAACGTCAGAAGCGGGCTGATATTCGCCGTCATAGGACAAACAACGAGCATGGCCAATCAGGAGAGGCGAGGCAACGGGATGACGTCCGGCGGATGAGAAAGGACCTCTTTCAACTGGGAGGTCGGCGTTTTACACAACTTCAACAGGTGCTCACTTTTACGCCTCTTCTCATTCCGTAGACGCCTGTTCCCAATCGTCGGGGACTCATCCTCGCTGCTCTTTCCATCGTTAGATGGCAATGGACGTCATCTGACGATGAAGGGCAAGAGCTTGAGTAAATCCTTGATAAGAAGCATCATGGCCATAGTTGGGCGATTGAGTGTGAGTCCGGCGTAAGAAACAGAAAAAGACAACTGGCAATCATTACATAGCAAGCCCTGGATCTAGATCTGATGTACTCTACTCCGGGTACTCGTTCTACTTCTTCAAGTTGTCAAATTCCAACCATGTGGCGATTATACTTGGGCATCGAAAGCCCGCAATACATCGGGCGCAGGCGATACTTATTTACAGAAGCACCCTCCAGGCCTATCCTCCGGGCCTGAGTAGGCCTGGCTTGGCCTGGTGATGCGTTTTCGCCGCAAATGAAGAATATGTCTGACATGGGCATCATCCGTACTAGGATGCTGGAGATCAAAACTCAAGGTCAATCGCCCCCCCCCCGCCCTTTTTCGTTTTTTTTTTTTTTTTCTCTCCCCTTTTTTTCTCCAAAAGACCAATTCGAGCAAGAGGAATCAACCTCAGGCAAAAACCAGTACGACGGCGTCAGGCCTATTTACCACTCTCGTCAGTACTGTGAGATTCCATATGGTTTTATACGGCCTCTCGAAGAGAGCAGCTTAGAAGTAGAGGCCCACGTATATAGCGGAGGCGCACGAGAGGAGCCGCAGGGTGCTAGAGCGGCTGTCGGCTAGCCCGTGTAGCGCGTCCCTCGAAATACTGCAGCCCTGATGATGCTGTTGAGGATATTGTGGATGCGAGTCGGTTCTTGCTGCCCGCTGCCGAAGGTGGTAAGAGTTCCTCTCTGCCCCCTGAGCGTTGTGAGCTACGTGGGTTTGTACATGGTCCAGGGTGTCATTCGGCACGCAGAGGGTACGTCTCCAGAGACTGTATTGTAGGCGTGCTGAATTTCACGAGATATTCTACTATGCGGTATTCATAGTGTGCCTTTCTGGGCTGGCGTCTAGTACGCCATTGTCATTGTTAATAAGCTTGGCTGCCTATGAGGATTTTTCGCGTGTTTATCTCCGGTCCCATCATTACCACTCCATCGTCCAGCTTTCGTTCACATGGCACTCGGACGAACATGCAAAACACACACACACACACACACACACACAATCTGCGGCTGCGGCTGCGGCTACCGCGCACCTCGAGCACCAGTCATGAACCGCCTCAGCAAGACGCTCCTCCACCTACAAACACACGTCCGAGCCGCTTGAAACGGTAACAAAAGCCCCGCGAACCCTTTCAAAATCACCATCTCTGCCTAGAACCATCTCTTCCTGGAACCATCTCTGCCTGGAACCATCTCTGCCTGGAACCATCTCTGCCTGGAACCATCTCTGCTTGGAACCATCTCTGCTTGGAAAGCCAAAACCAAGCACGCGTTTGCTGACATGATACACGCAGCCAGGATGCAGAAAACGAAAAGTCGACCTCAACTTGACATATGCTCCGATCTCCCTCTCTCTCCCTTTCCACCTTCGAGCCAACGGATCATCCAGAGCCAAGATAGAGGAATCTTTATCAGCAGTACGACGGCACCCGGCCAATCTGCAGTTCCTACACACACTCAGAGATACCATACACATACCTGGTCCCGGAAGGCCTTTCTCAAAGGGAGGCCCAGAAGCAGAAGCCTATCGAGGCGATAGGCGCTCACAAGAGCTGCAGGGCATAGAGCTACTCTACTCTAGTAGAACCTGTACAGTGCGTCTCTCAATATCCTTCAGAAGCTGCGGGAGTCCGAGAACTTCGACGCGGCTATCGAGGGCATAGAGTATGCGAGCCTATTGCTATCCAACGTTGACGAAGGATCGGAGTGTTCTCCTGCGTGCTTCCCCGATTTTCCGAGTTTTGCCGACTGCCATCTACGATAATCCCATGATTCTGGCTTTCCCGTGACCTGCCCGTCTTCCGAGGGCGGTCCTTAGTCGTGTCTGAAGATCGGCTGGTTCAGAGGAATAACGGGCGGGCGCAAAAGCGGGTTTAAAAGACGACTATACACGGGCATGCGGAGGAACCAACAGGGAAATTAGTTATTGGAACCTGGCTTCATTACATACCCCCTTTGAGTATCGAACCGGGAAACACGTAGACAGTGTCTACGTAACGTATTCGACGGGATATGAAGTCGTTAAATCGAGTAACTTCAATACAATTCACACGTTCTTTGAGCTGTGGCATAAGAGGTGTTCGGGTGGTCTGTCCGCAGGAAATACATTCAGGTTGGCCCAATCAAATTGTTCTTCACAAGCTTGATGGCTTCAGAAAAGATTCGGCGCCCGTCAATGTGCATGCAAGTCGCCCCAAGAACCCTCAGACCAAGTCCACTCACAAAAGCTATAGATAGGTCTCGTCAACACTTCTGAAACTCCGGAAGATCCATTCGAGGAATGACCATACATCTGAATGCCTTAACAATACCTACCATTGATCGTACCTCTGGACTGAACACCGTATGTGCAGCCGTTCTTGAAAAGTAAGCTTGGCAACATGGCCAGAAAAAGATCTTGATCTACTTGCTTACATGTTGTAGACACCGTGAAACCCTGTAGGAAACAGGCAGTTTTATAAATACACCGTAAGGGAGTGTGTGTATTTGTACCACTACTATGCAGTTTGCCATTTCGTCTCTGGGCATTTGTCCTCCAACTTGAGCTGAGCATCCGTAGCACCTGACATCTTCTTTAGAGTAATATGATAGATGCACACAATAGATGTTTTGCCGCTGACTACGAGACTCGATGCTACGAAGACAAGCAGGATGGATAGGTTCATTATTGAAACCATTTGGTACGTGCTTTATGGCGAATTCAGCTCTGGTGATGCTGTGGTGCGGTGGTATCCATGTGAGGGAGGGCCCTGTTGGCTCTTTGGAAGAGGGTCTTTTGAGAATACGGGGTGCAGAACGGTTGTGGGAGTTTGAGAGATCTTCTCTGACTGAGCGGGATAACACGGAAAATCCAGCCGCAAAACCATGACCAGCCAGGTTCTTGCGGCGACGGTTGGAGCCGGGCATATGTGGAGGATAAGCCAGGTCTGCGCCATTACCGTTGAACTTTAACTTGTGCAATTCCTAATACGTTATGGGCTGTAGAATCTAATTTAACCGAGACCGCCTATTCTTCCTGTGCCAAAGCGACTACTTTTCCTGTGTACTTAGTGACTTTGATGATGAGGGCGACGGGGACGACGACGGGGACGACGGCGATAGATGCTAATAATAGAGGACGAAGACGATATACGACGATAATAGTAGTAGTACTAGTAGTGACCACAATAGTAACGACGATAGCGAGCACATAGGAAAAGTAGTCGCTCTATCTCAGTAAAACTAGGCGGTCTCGTCTAGTCTACACCCTCCCCTGGTGGAAGTACCCGCCAGAACTCTTCTTGACCTCAACCGCCGCGTCTTTTTGACAACAAGATTACAATCCCCGTCCCGGGGCTTTCAGTCTGGGCCATTCCCAAGGTTTTGTGCCATTGCGAAGAGCAGGAGGACCAAAAGGGACAACAGGGATCAGGGAATGATATTTGCGGAACTGTGGTGGCTCTCGCTCCATCCATAAGTCGATGAAATTTCGCTTCTCGGCGGGCATCATATGCGGAAGAGGCATCTCGCTATATGCGGGGAGAACTCTGGTCTTGGGATCGCGATATATCTCCCAAGCCTGTCTCATGCGTCGTGCCTGGCCCGCGGTGAAGTGCATGCCTGTGTTGCTGTTTTCCCCCACCACTTAGCTAAAAGAAACAACAGAGTCCATTGGGCACACCCAACTCACCATCCAGTGTAAGTCATGTAGTTGCGAACGGGGTCGTATCCAGGCAGCAAGGGACACGAGTTCTGCGTTTCATTGCAAGTATTCTGGAAGCCAGGTTTCATGTGCTGCCGACGAGTGTCCTCAACCTGGTCATCGTTGCCCTCGCAACCGCCTTGGAACGTGTGATAAAGGCCGAGCCAGTGGCCCGTCTCGTGCACCACCAGCTTCTCAAGCATGGCCTCTGTCAGGCCGTTCGTGGCAATGATGACAGCGTCACTGGCCAGGGGAAACTCCAGGCCCCGGCGCTTTGTGGGTGCGTCAAGGAGGGCCCACGGGAAGTTGGCGAAGCCGTATGTTCCCAGGTTCGCGGGGACCAGGAACACGTTGAGCGTGTCCGCTCCGCCGCGACGGTAGGCGCGGACCAAGGCCGAGGTGACGTTTCCCCATATCCTGAATCTGTGCTGGCTGCCAACTTCGTCGACGTGTTCATAGGAGAACGGGCCGAACTCGAAGCCGACGCTGCGGTATTTGGTATAGGCTGCCTCGATGGCAGTGGTTTTATTCTACAGAGGGGGGAGAGTAGTGTTAGCCTGTTTCTTGGTCAGTGCTTTAAAGAAGGAGTCCGAATGCTGGAGTTCAACCTGGAAGAAACTCCTGTAATTTCTGTTCCCGACGAGGACAATGTTGACGGGGATGCGGATCGGCTCTTTTTCCTTAAACACGGCGGTGTCCTTGTGCATGGACTCTAAGACAAAAAGATCGTCGCGGGCATACTGCTCTCCATCTCTGTGATCTGTTCCGCAGAGCGTGAAGCCTATTTCATCAGGGTCGATCTCTCCGAAAGGGCGACCGAAGGAGGCCTGAGCCAGAAAGAGGGGCAAAGCCCACGCGAACTTGACCATGATAGGAGATAAATGTTGCGAGACGAGGAGGCTGGTATGATAGAACTCATCTCAAAAGTCAGTAAAAACCGGGAGTTTTGTAGTTTGCTGTGGCCGAACAGGTTGGCAAATTTGAAAAGGAGAACAGCTGCGGTTGCAGCGCAGAATTTTAAAATGGGCTGAACGCCCGCGGAGTCTGGAAGCATTTCGTCAAATTCATTCATCTTATTTATCCCCTCATGCTTAATCACTAGGTTCTATGTAGCCACATGTCTGGTGGCCTCAACGGGACATTGATGATACCAGCCAATAGACGTGCGCATCGATGATGTCGACAGCGAAGCCACGCAACGATAAGAGGTACAGAAAACTTCAACGACAGTGGAAATGTATGAGAGAAGTTCCACTGAAGGAAAGGGCTGAGCCCACTTCAACTCGTGTTGATAGAGCGCCGTTGAGATTTTGGGAGCTGCAGTTGCCTGGAGGCGCCATGCCGCACCGTTTTGGAATATGGCAGGCCAGCTCGTCCAATGAAGAGACGGTGTCAGAGTCTAGCTTCGGAAAAGAGTGTCGATGGCCGACCCGGACGGCCTTCCGAAATCGTTGACCGAGGATTGCTTACGCCTTCGGCTGCAGTGGCTCTAGCCCAACCGTCCAGGCAATGGAAGGTGAGATAGATCGCGCGTGTGTGCGCCAAGATGTGACAGGGCGTCGTCAGCGGTCAGCCGGACGATTAAGATGCTGACGCCATCCGGTTCTCTGGGAATGGCCCACTTTCTGGAACGGAAAAATTGCTTTGTTGCTTATGAAGGATCAAGGGTATCATGTCGGTAATAACGTGGTGTTCATCTAGGCCTTCTTCAAGATGCGCTTGAGGAATCCTTTGCGGGATGTTGTTGATGATCCTGGAAGCGGGTCAGCGTCGTCTTCTTCATTTATCGAGCCGTACGGGCAGTGATGAGACGGCCAAGGCCAAGGAATCTTGGCAGCAAAGTGTGAAGGTGAACTATGCCAGAGCAACTTACCATGGACAACACTTTCGGCATCGGTCTTCTCTTTGGACAGAATAGGGGCACCGTTCTTGTCGACAAGCGTCACTTCTGAAGCCATCGCCGCGGCATTGGACCTTGAAGATGAAGCTGGCTGAGCAGGTCGACGAGGCATGGCCGAAGCGTGCATGCCAGGAATGACCATGGCTGATTCGTAGTAGTTGCCAGACATGGTGCTCGTTACGGCGTCGCGAAGGATGGCCTTGAGGTAGGTAGTTTCGATGGAGCTCATGTGGAGATTTGAAGACCTTGAGTTGACGGAGGAATATCGTGCGTGTTCTGAATTGTATAGACTGAAGCTTTTTTGATTTACTGATGCCTTTGAACCTCAGGTCTCTGGGAGGGCTTGGCCGGGCTTTATACGCTTCGTAACCGTGATGCTGAATTTTAGATTTCCAATCCTAAACGACCTCGGGACCGAGTTCCCATCACCTTGACTCACAGACACGCAAGCCACTTCCGAGAAATACATGGCATCATTTCAAAGGGCGCGTCGTCAGTCGACTGCTCAAACTTGCACGATGGAACTGGTCCGCCTTGCTAGCGCGCTGCTCCGGTCACTGTCAGACCGGGGCACATCGATGCCGAAGCGGATTCCTAAATGCAGCCACCGACGGGCCAACGTCCAATTGTGCCCAGCATTGGAAATCTTACCAGAAAATACCTTGCAGGTCAGCCCTGTAAGCCCTTGCAACGTGAATGTCGGCCAGTCGATTCGGGTTAGATGGTCTGGATGTTTGAGCGAGAATTAGTAATGGGTACCTTCACCAGGCTAAATCACCATGATCCACCCGCCAACATGGGGTCGCTGTGGAGGTGTGGGGGGGCCGGCTTCGGCTCGGGGAGCGCTGCCGAAGCCGAAAAGTTGCAAGCCGACGCCGAGACCGACATTTCTTTCTCAAGCCGAACTCATGTGCTGTCTTGCATTCATCGAACAAACATCGCCGAACAAACGAATGGAACACCGAGTTTGAGACGCCGAATCATTCGGAATCGGTTAATAATTATCCAATTTATTTGAGAATTTTGATTCTCACAGAAGAATGGAGTCTACGGAGCCGAGACTGTTCCGCAAAAACGGACGGGCTCAGGCTTGTGAGCCATGCCGCAAACGCAAAGTAGCCTGCGACCACACGCAACCCATTTGTAACAGATGCAGAAAGTCGAAGAACCCAGAAGCATGCGAGTACATTGTCAGCAGCACCCCTGTGGCTCGAGAAAGTCCTAGACCGAATCGATCAAGAGAACATCGGCGAGCAAGAGACACCCGGGGCTCTGTGGCGCCATCGCCCCTGACACTCGCCTTTCCCCCATCATTGCCAGGCCATCCTTCAGGTTCAACAGCGAGAGCGCCGATAACAGTGCCTACACCGACCAGTGCGACGCCTGGGCGGCGGACCGGCTCCGTCTCCGCAAGCCACCCCACAAGCCCCGAGTCCGTGGCCGCGACTCCGAGCGTCCTCGGCATCGGCTACCTAGGCTTCACCTCTTTCTCCGGGATCTACGAGGAGACCCGGCATAATCTGAACCGGCTTCAGTCCTCCGGAACAGCTCCAATCAGCGAAATCGGCACGACCAACTACTGCGGCTTGGAGTGCTCTCCGCCCCTGACGCCACAAGCTCTCGAGACATGCCTCAACATCCTCCGCCACGTGCCGAATCGGGAAGTCGGACTGAAGTTATGGGATAGCCATTCAAGCCCGAGTGACGGCTGGATCCGTCCCGTTGGGCGGCGGATCATGCTGTCTCTCTATGAGACCTTCCCGCGGCACTTCAACAGCGCTACACCAGTGAGCGACAGGGAGATGGAGGCTCTTGCGCGCACCATATGCGCCAATACGGCGAAGCGCATCAGCGACGAGGAGGCGGACCCGGAGAAATGGGTCGCTCAGCTTACTGGGCCAAACCTGCGATGGGAATCGCTTGGTGTCGTCTTCGTGTATTGGGAGCTCGCGGCGAGATATCTCGGGCCGTATCGGCCGGACGTGGGCATGCAATTTGAGTCCGTGGACGAGAACACCAAGATAGTGATGAGATACCGGTACTGCATAGGTGCATGCATTGAGCTGACAAAGGCTGCCGGTAGCGGAGGAAATACACTACTCCTGTTCATGTCCGTAAGGAGGACAGTCATTGAGTCACTATTCTCTGGCGATGCCGGTAAGCAATCTCTTTCGTTTTCAACCTAAGACCATACTTACAAAGTATTCTGAAGGATTTGCATGCTGGCAACTGCACTCCGAGACCGTGGCGCTGACCACGTTTCTCGGCTTCCACACTGAAGTCGACACCGAGCCATACGTGCCGACCATCGGCGCCGAGATCAAACGCAAGGTCTTTGCGTACATTTTCTACATGGACAAGGTTCTTGCATCGTTTTCCGGCAGGCCGCCGTTGATGAGCCGCAGATATGCACGCACGCCCCCGCCCCTGGACCTCAAGGATGAGCATCTGCTCTCTGACAAAGCCACACTTGCTGGCCATGTAGCAAACCTTGACGAGAACGGGTGGAACACTGAGGGCGGACTGTATTCCGCGACCTTCATCCGCGCTCGTGTAATGCTTGCTCGCATCCGAGACGAGTTGTTCGAGATCGCTCTTGGCCATGGCTCAGTGACATCCGTTGAGACTGTTTTGTAAGCGAATGCCCCTCCTCCGATGGCTCACAGACAGGCTGCTGACATTACTACCCCTGTAGGGAAATCAAAGAGAGGCAATTGAGAACAATTGCTGGATTCCCACCAATTGTTGTATTCAAAGATGAAGATATTCAAGATCGGAATATTGATGTGGCCATACTCTACATACGACTCATCGTGTACCTGGAGCATCTCCAGAACATGTTCTTCATCGAGAGGCTTCTCGTGAAGCGAGGACATGACGATGGCGCGTTACTGGCAGTCAGCTTTGAGATGGTGTCCAAGACCCTCCTCTTCTGGACAAACATGGACCGCTTGTCCGTTATGAATGGTGATTTCGAGTGGCTCGTACGTACATTGCTTACCCCCTGAACCCCCTATCCATCCAATGGACTCACGCAGAGACACTAATACATATAGGTAATGGCATATGCCGCTCCCGGAGGCGGCATCCTCTGTCTTGAGCTACTCAAGCCCACTCTCCACGGGGGCAACCACCCCCAGAACCCCAAGTTGACTCGCTCAAGTATCATCCAGAAACTAAGCCTGCTCGTTGGCTTTCTCGACTGGGTTAGCCCAACCGCGCCGAACGGGGATCTCTGTGCCGACTGCAAGGTAATTATTCAGCACGTCCTCGACCAGGCCCTGAACAACCCGGCCGCCGCAGCTGCAGGTGCGTCTGCCTCCGCAGACGGCGGAGTTGGGCTCCCTGCCGGTTTGGATTCGATGGACTGGGACTTTTCGACACAGCTGGACTTCAATTTCGACCTGCTGGACACCTTTGACTGGCTACGGCCGGACGTGGCTTCGGTCCAGCAAGCTTGATATGGCAAGGGGTGAATTGACGGTGAGGTGGCTGCGGCTGCGGCTCCCGAGAGATGCTTGTTTAGGGGGCCCACCTCGTGTACTCTTTCACGATGATTGCGCCATTCACAAACGATATCGGTGACTCTTTAGTATCAAGGAGGTGTCTCAAGGTCTTGTTTAGATGTTTGGTGGACGGATGAGTCAAGCGGCATGCGTCATATGAAGCTAGTGGAATTGGCCGCCCCACCCGGGAATTCACGATGCTTCATCAACTCGCGAGATACCCTTAATGCTATGCTAAAATAATAAATGTATCATGATTTGCTTTAGACGAATGCTGTATTGATCTATTCAGAAGGCCCATTATGCGCCGTAAAGGGGGAGCAGTGGTTGCCTCACTTGATGAGTCCACAGGAGCAAAAAGACAGCAAAAAACATACAACACCGGGCATTCGCCGGTCGTCACCGACCCGACTACTACTCCAGCCCTCATTGGCTTATCTATGGGAGAGCGGACGGGATCCCGAGTTTTCCAATGGGTATGGTCGTATGTGCTCGAATGTGGTGTTCAGGATTACCATAATCTCAGAGCGTATCGCGCTAATAGCAACCCACCCGGTTGTCAGAGTCAACTACTGCTAATGGAACATGGGAAAGCCTTGTTACTTAGGATGAGATCTTATGCCTTTATCATAGTGAACAGTCACTTGCGTGGATAGCATCTCAGGGTAGTGGGACTGACGGCCCCGCCAGGCCCCAGCATTCGCGATGCTGCATCAACCTGTGAGATACCCTTGATGCTATGCAATAGTTTAGTGAGATATAATTGCTCCATTTAGACTCTGAAAGGTCCGAACCAGCGTCTCTCGAGGCATTTCAAACTGAAATCAGCTTTTCCTCCAGGGTTTTGCCGCTTCAGTCATTGTAGCACCGTTCACGATGGCAGCCGTCATCGCCTTCTCTGTTTCCGCTAGAGAACGCATTAACTCAAGCGTTCGCTCCACCAGTTCTCAAGGCACGCAGACGACCCTGTCCAAGTCGCTAGTAGTCCAGTCTTCCGGCTGGATGATGGTATCTCGGTCATCTTATGAGACTGTGACCGGCTCATTGATCTGATCATGTTAGTCGCTTGGACGGGCTTCTGAGAGATGATGAGAAAAGAGACCGCCTAATTTTCCTATGTCTGTGCAGCTATACTTCCTGTATGCGTAAATACTCACATTACGGGCGATAGTGACGATGACAACGATAATCACGACGACGACGACGACGACAGTCACAACTACAAAGACAGTGATGACGACAATAATAAGAAAGTAGGGCAAGGGTATATAACCACACGAAAAATAGTCGCTCTAGCACAGCAGAAATAGATGATCTCATATAAAAGACTCAAGCAGCTAGAGATACTATAACAAAGGAGGATGTTCGCGTACCTCGCTGGCATAAAGGACACCATGAGGAGGTGTGGGAGCCACATTGCGACCAAAAACCTGCAGCGGTTGGCAAATAGTTCGGCATCATCGCACGTAAAGGTCATCAGATGCAAAGACCTACCAGGTCTCCCTGCACGCGAAGCTCTTCAAGTTCTCTCACCCGCCCATCAATCACGGTACCAACAGCCCCAAGCGTCTGTGCTCTTCGGATGGTCAGCCCTCCCCAGCAGGCATTGATGGTGTTCTCGGGACAAGAGATGAGGATCACGGCACCTCTTGGGACGCTGTCCAACTGAAGGCGATCACGATGATCCATCAGTATGTTCAGTTCATGAAGTCTATCGCAGAGACTTACAAAGTGCCCGGTACCACCTTTAAGGGTTGCGTTTCCGTCCCTGGCGGACAAGTACTTGACGGTAAACGCTGGGCCAACTATTTTTGTTTGACCAGACTGGCGATTAGGCGACCGCAGGTTTAGGCCAGGTAGGAAGCCGCCGCCAGGTACGTCAAGCTTCAGGAGCGTATCTGCGACATCACAGCTGAGTCGACTTCGCCGTCAGCTTTCCGACCTCAGGATCAAGAAAACCAGCCAAATAGTAGCCACATATACTCTTTCTTTCCTTTGACCATTTTGCATGTCACGATGGGGGGCACTGGGGTCTACTTCTTCGGTGAGATTGCTTTTCTGCTTTCTACACAGAAGAAGGGGCGGCGCAGGTCTACGGCATTAAAAGGTGGGTGTGTACCGTGAATAGCCTTCCGAGTGTCAGAGCTAGGAGGACAGACCTGCCGCACTGTGGATGCCCACGACCCTTTTGTCTTACGGTAGGCGTCACATGATTGAGATCGAAGCCGAACCTTGAACTTACTTCTCCTTAGCAGCGACGTTTTTGCAATCTCTTCCACCCCTGAAATTATCAGCCCAGAGGATTCAACCAACTGTGACGCCTTTCGCTCATCAAGCGAAATCCCTTCGACTTCCCTTTAAACCGAGCCAAATATATTGTCTATCAAGACCCCACCAAATACATCCTTTCCCGGAGACTGATTGATCCTGTTAATCCGATTTCCTTTGCCAGCTGCAAGCCAACCGCCGTTGTCTTCCAACGTTCGTCCATGACCAAGCCGTCAGAGTTGTCCGCCTTTGGTATCGTCTTTCTGAACCCTTTGCGATCCACCACGTGCATCCCACGTGTCCACTGACCGGAGGCTTCTACGCGGATGTCCTGAGGTATGGGCGTAGACTTCCGGCGTGTGTCTTCTTTAGTGAAGATGTACCAGATGGTCATGGGATCATGCAGTTGAAGACCAGCATCGGAGGTGCTGTTTGGCCCCTTCATTGAGTCGATCTTGTCGAAAGTTTTGGACATGAAGTGCCCATTCCACTGCGCCAAGGGGCTCCCGCTCGCCAATAGAGGTGTGATTCTCTCTGTGAAGTGCCGTCTGAAGAGGCGGTGCGGGGTCGTGATATCCAAAGGAAACAAAGTCAGCTTGAGCTTGCCTTCCACGTCCTTCGAGTACGGAGGAAGCGAGGCCGCGAGTGGCATCGTGGATTTGGGAGAAGGCGACGTCAGGGCGAATACTCGGGCTGTTGCAGCTGGATCTACATAAGTATTGAATTCAGCCTTCGGCGTGATGTTGCCTGGCAAGTCAATCGCCCCTCCCATAACGACAAATTCCTTGACGCGAAGAAAAGTGTCTACATCATCGGCGGCCGCCAGCGCTAAATTGGTCAACGGCCCAATGGCAGCGATCGTGATAGAGTCAGGAGGGTTCTCGCGCAACAAGCGCAGAATTTCTTCATGCGCGGGCTCTCTGGATGGGATGAACAGCGAGGATGAAGAGTTCTGTTGGTCGCCATGGAAGGCGGCGTCCCAATTTTCCGCTGGGGTGAGATGGGGATGCTCGGCATGAAGACCATCAGCGCCATCTGAGAGTTGTCTAGCAATTGTTCAGTACCGTGACTTCACTAATCACGGAAATGGTCTGCAGCAAGCTCGTATTCCTCAAGCGGGTGTGTTGCGCCGACTGCGACGAGCGGCTTGAACGCCTTGAGCGCATCGAAAACCGAGTGCTTGCCGTTGGCCTTCCGCCATGCCATCTCCTTCTCGAGAATGTGGAAGAGAGCGATGACATTGCGAAGGCAACTGTTTGGTTAGCAAAAGCCGAGCGATTGGCATCAGAGTAACTCACCTGGTGACAGGAACGTTGCCGTAAGTGACGGACGACAAGAGCACCTCCAGATCCTCTGGAGATGACGAAAGTGCTTGAAGAATAGCCAGAACGTCGTCGACACCTATTAAGAAGAGACTCAGAACTCTGATCACCGCATTCAGCATGTTCACTAACCTGGGTCTGTGTCAATGATGACGCGGTTCTTTGGAGCCATGTTCGCAGTGTCAAGGCTTGGTGAAAGTGTTAGAGACGGACGGTCGATGTGGTACAAGAGGGAGAGCACGGAAAGTTCGACTTAAATAAGAGTATTTGGTTAGGGCTCCATCAGGCGGAAAAACAATTGCAAGCCTCAACAAGCATAGCCTATCCCGAACACCCATTACAGGATTGTTGTCATGTCGCTGCAGGCGGGGATGGCGCCGGTACTACCTTGGTTTTATCCCTCCCCAACACCCTTCATGGTGGGCCTATGCTTAGTATTCATGGTTCCAGAAGTAGGGTCTGAGTACTGGGTGTACCTTCTGCATTTCTGAGATTGACTATCACAGTCTTCTCGGTGAAGCTCGCGCATTCGAGTAGAGAGTTTCCATTGTGTCTACTATACTCTATGATGTCCACAGGCTAGGGCTCTAATCCCGGAAAAATTCAAATTCGACTCCAATCAAGTTGTTATATAGATGTTGGGACTCGATAATGTAGGAGTGCGTCAATGGCGTCCTCGGGAGTCTGCACCGTCACAAAAATACCAGCATTGGCTGCGCGTATGAACTGCTCCTCTGCAGCCTGTTTGATCCACTTCGAGATTCCATCGAAGAATCCATCGATATTCAGAAGACAAACACCCCTCGAGTGGATACCCAGCTGAACCCACGTGGCAGCTTCCAGAATCTCCTCTATTGTCCCGTATCCTCCAGAGAGCGCAATAAAACCGGATCCTGGACCACCCGCAACAAGTTCCTCGGCCATCATGCGCTTGCGGGTATGCATATCTTTCACAACTGTGGTACGGCCGTATGTCATCTTGTCCGGGATGGGCATCTTGTTCTCAGAACAGATGCTGCGGTAGGTATCATCGCGCTCAAACTTGACCAAGGGCTCGGGGATGATGCCATGGGCTGTGTCTGGTCCGGAAATGGAAACGAGGGTCTTGGCCACCTCTCCCATGAGTCCGACTGTGCCACCTCCGTAGACTAGGTGAGTGAGTTTTGTAAGCATCTTGATGGTCTCTTTTTAAGATTGAGCGCCTGTCTTGCCAAGATTAAGGTTTTTTTGCAGCCATCAGCTGAGTGAGCTTGCGAGCAGCCTCCATGTGATTTGGGCTGTAATCCGTAGATGAGCCACAGTATATACATATTTTCGTTCGTTTGGGAACATCATGGTTGAGGCGAGTTTCAATGTCGGTGGCTAACATGTTGCTTGCCTCCCAGTAAACCACTGATGTAGAAGAAAGGGGTTAAGAAAGTTGGTGAATGAGTGGTCACTGAGAAAAGCTAAATAAGGACGTGAGACTATCGGGATGTGAAAGAAGCAAAAGCGGCCTTAAATAGTAGACGGATGAGTTCGGGCCAGGAGACTCTCAGAAGGCTGGGGCTTACCCAAGCAGAGAGAGCCCTAAGTGCCTAGTTCTGATCAAATTCAACTGTGATGTCCCGTAGCTCACCCTGGAGTGGTGCACAAAGCCAGCTTACGAAAGGCGTAGTCTCACATGTTGATGCGATGTCATTGCATCAGACTCGTGATCCCTGTCGGGTGGTATGGGGGAGGAGCAGTCCCAAGATCCTGGATATCGTTGTATGAAGAGATGAACCAATCGTAAGGCGACAATTGCGAGCTAGCCAACGAGAAGTAAGCGGGAGAATCTTGACTCGCCCATGACTCTCTGGGTTAGTACAGGGATTTCTGTCGAACTTGCCAAATGAAGGGGGAGAACTTCGTGTCTCTGTTTCTTTTCACTTCTCAATTTCACGGAGAGTTCTCGTTGGTCTACTGTAAACCCGGAAAGACCACCTGCCGCGTCACTTTTAGCATCAGTGGTTTGTGTCGATGCACAGTCATGAATACAAGCCGAAATCGATCGAGGAAGCCAATAGCCAGGGTGTCAATATCTCGGTTCAAGTCTGGCTGCAAGACCTGCAAGTAAGTCTCCCTCGGAAGGGCTCATAAAACGCCGCACCACGACTTAAATGTCTCACAGAATCCGAAGAGTCAAATGTGATGAGAATAGGCCAGCTTGCCAAAGATGCTTGTCTACGGGCAGAACCTGCGATGGGTACGGCATTCGGGGCGGCGGAGGCGGGCGCCGTTCCGTTACATCCAGTCACGCAGCACATCCCTTGGCACAACCATCCTCAATCTCGCGTCATAATACACGTGCTGGTGCCTTGAGCCTCAGTCATGACGAGCACAAGCAATTTGAGTGGTTCGCTCGCCGTACCACCGGCAAGCTACCCGGGGTCTTCACATGTGCTCTGTTCTGGGAAACCCTGGTGCTTCAGGCGAGCTCAACGGAGCCAGCGGTATTATATGCTTTGCTAGCGCTCGGTGCCGCCCACGGGATGGAGATCTCAAATGCGTGTTGTTGCAAAGTCGAATCGGAGGACTCCGATCTATCCAACATCACTACGCAAAAGCGACTAGATTTGCAGTACTACAACAAGGCGATTGGCCTGTTTCGACCTCAGCTATGCGACAGATGCCTGGAATCCGTGCGCGTGTCTCTCGTTGTTTGCATCGTATTCATATACTTAGAATTTATACAGGAGCATTATGAAGATGGGTACGTTCACTTCCGGCACGGCCTTCAGCTTTTGGACCTCCTTATTCCAGGTATATCGAGAGGTTCGAGGTCATTTCGAGACTGTGCCGATGAGTCCCTCGCCGAAACTCTCGCTTGGCTCGATATCTAGACAACTCTCCTCAAAACAAACTCTCCTCAAGGTCACTACTCTCGAAAACTTCCCTCGTGGCATGATACCGAAGTGCCCACTGCTTTTCGAGACATTCTTCATGTCCGTCAGAGCATGGATAGACTTTTATTCCGATCTTACGCACTTGAAGAAGAGAATCGACAAAGTAGTTGTGATTCAGCCGCAACTTTTGACCTGCTTGGTAGTCAGAAGCGTCTTGGAAATGACCTAGCATCCTGGTCAAGGACCTTCAGTACTTACACCAAGAGAATGTGGCCTGTTATTGGGGGTCGAGACAAAATTGCCTACAGCTACCTACCGGTGTATAACGAAATGACATTCATCATCGCCGAAACCTGTCTCTACCCAACGGAAGAATCGATCTTCAAACACTACACAGAAAACTTTGTCTTCATTGTGTCGTCGATAAAAGATATCTTGGAGGCCATGTTACCCGCCCCACCACCTCCTGTGGCATCAAGACACTGCACTCAGTGTTTCAGCTGCTGTGCTCAAATGGGTCTGATTCCGCCTCTTTACTATACAGCCATGAAGTGTCGAGTACCATTTATCAGGAGACAGGCCGTTGAACTTGTCACCACAGGAGTTCATGAGGAAGGCATTTGGGACACGTCCTTTCCGGCACAGATGGCTGGAGAAGTAATCTCATTGGAAGAACAAGGCTTATGTGGACAGGACAAGTAGCTACGATGGCGATCGCTCACATTGGTTGTATACAAGGATAGTCTCATAGAGCTGTGTAATCTGCTTTGCGTCGAATTGATCAGATATTAGATCGCCGGACTGTAATCTAGAGAATAGACAAGATGCATGTAGAGCCATTGCCTACTTGCCGAGAGTATAATCACTGAGAACTAAACCTCAATGATGCCAGTTTGCAGAGTCTTCAACGCCGTGTTCCCCAAATGATTGCTCCGGGGCCAGTCCCCAGCCCATCATATTCCAAAATGCAGCATCAAATCCAGGCAATCCAGAACTTCTGTCCCCAGCTGCTGTTGTGTAAGAAGGATTGGTGGTCTGACCCCGATTCCTGAGGTTCTGTTCAACCTTCTGAACAAATCCCGGTGTCTCAGGTAGGTAACCCAATCGAAGGAGGATGTCCTCCTGCCGTGCCCTCCAGGCCCTGAAGAGAAATTTTTCTATGGTGGAATAAAACTCGGTTGTGTGGTCGAACAAGTTTTCATGATGCGCGAAGATAATGGGTAGCACTTCCCATGCTCGATCAACAATCTCACCAGTCTTCCGATGACAAAGTTGACCCAACAGGTAGGTAAAAAGATCTTGCTCAAAATACTGGAGGACAAACCATAGGAAGTTACTATCCTCCATTACTCGAAGGAGGTTGGCGAACTGCTCAGCCGCCTCCACAGATAGTGTAAATAAGTTGTTCGCGCGGTCTTTGTGGGAAGACGTCTCAGCAAGCCCTCGTCTAGGACCGCGAGCCATCATCCAGATTTTCTGGGTCATGGCAGACTTGATCTGAAATGCCGCTACATGCAGAGGACCCGCCGCTGGATCGCAATAGTCTTTAACAATGCTTCCGAGACAGTCTTCAACATCGGCCACAAACTTGGTCATGCCGGAGCCTTGAGCTTGACTGCTAGAACTTGACATGGCGTTTAGTTCCATTGCGAGTATGGCTTCGCCAATATTAGATCGCTTTACCAGAGATCTGGCCAGTCCACTGGTAATCAAGCAGATAATCATATCCGTTGGGCCATGGCGGTTCGCGGGATGACTCGTGGTAGCGTTGTCCAAGTCTTCATCGTCGATGTTGGTCGGCATCCTGGTATCGCATGCGCCGGCCAGAGGAGTCGGTGTGAAGCCCGAAGCCAGCGCGAAGCGGAAGTCGAGCAAGACTACATGCCACCAAACTCGTCTTCTTAGCTCGGTTTCGAGAGGGGGCAGTCCCAAAGCTTCACCATCCCGGTGCATGCCGAGTCTCTGGGCGCTGCGGATGCAAACACCGCTGAGAACCCAGTTGGCATGGGCATTTTGTCGCCCTGGAATTGAAGTCTGACCCAAAGTTATTATTTTTTGAAGCTTATAGAGGATAAGCGGCTTACAAGGTGAAGTGCGAGAGCTTGTAGAAGCGTCAAGGTGGGAGCCTCTAAGAAATGGGCGCGGTGCACAGCAGTTTGGATGGCATTCGAGAATCTGCACAATAATTCTTTCTTTGGTTCCCCAAGCAGTACGGCACACTCTTCCTCCCTCATAGAGCCCACAGCACTCCCATAAATGGAAAAGAACAAGGCCTCCAGTTCTGGTGACAAATGGGCCGGCTCCATTGTAGCCTGAGACAGATAGCACTGTATTGAGGGAACATGAACCAGCTTGGTCATGGGGTTTATCCTGTCCAGAAAGATCTGCCACAATGTCATAGTGTGGCTTGGTGATGGATGAAGCGACCTGATGTCGCCAAGAAAGACATTCTGCGTGCTAAAGATATCGACACTGCCCCCGGTGGCGGGTGAATGAAAGGATCTATCTTGTACACTCGGGGGACTGTCGACATCTTCAACCAGCCTCTTCATAGATTGCAACTGTTCGATATTCAGATTTTATTAGGGCTCCTATTGGATTGAGTCGTCGAGCCTCACTCACCTCGTCGAACATTGCAGCCCAAAGGGCGTTATCGGTGAATCGGAACGACCCCTCATCTATCACGAGTTTGCCGAGGGCAGCATCCAGGGGCTTGTTTTCTCTTCCTTTTTGTTCGTTACCTGAATGTGCTCGGTTGATGGCTCCTGCAGGACTTTTGTTATCTGATAGCTGCTGGATCAGTTGCTCGCATAAGGCCAGTTTCTGTTGCAGCTCAGCCGCGGGCTTCTTTCGGTTGCGAGTTTTCGCGTTGGTGCGCTGGACACACTCCGCACCCGACTCAGCTGGTTATGAGATGCTGGTAAATATTTTGGCAGGAAGCGGTTGCAACACACCTTGACACAATTCATACACGGACTATCGCGGTCGCATTTAATTTTCCGTGCTTTGCAGAGTGTACAAACAGGTCGACGAGGAGGTTGCGATGGCTCCGATGCCACAGATTCCATCGTGGGTCTCGAACAGGGTGCGTTGTCAGGACGTTCAGAAGTCCCAGCTTTTGCAGTGAATTGAGAAATAATTAAGAATGACCATGGCCTCGAAGAGAAAGTCTAACCAAGGGGTGTCCGAGTTCTTTTAACCTCGATGGACCCCATCTGCCTGCGTTGGCGGGGGGCATGTTCCAGGCCTAATTCAATTGCGTCGCCGAGCAGGGATCGCCCGGTCACCTGCAGATCCAAGCATCACGCCGACCACCCCCGTCAGCCGCAGCGAGCTTTGTGACACTCAGTACAACTTGTCGTACACATATCCTAGCGATTTACGAATGTCCATCACGTCTCGAATGGGCATCGTCACGTTAACAGTCGTCCCAACAAATACAACGTCGTCCAAAGTCACGTTGCGGCCCTTTTCATTCAACCAGTCGTTCGCAATGATGGGACCAGAAATCTCAGTCAACCTCGTTGACAGATTCTTAGACTGCCACGACCACCAGAGTCTGTCCATATTGGCGTGGTGGAGGTAGAAGAGCGGGTCACCAGCTGAGTCGATGGGATCAGTCTACGTTCTACTCGTGCAACAGGACTGGAGAACTTACGGCTCGCCCAAGCATCAGTCAAGACGCCGTAGAGCCCGCCGACGCCGATGTGTCCTGCCCCATGGACCGTGAGCTCCGTCTGACGTGTGAATGAGCCAAAGTCGACGTAACCCATCGCAGTCGACACAGCTTCTACGCTGCCAGAGGCCATGAAATAAGATGGCACGAAGTCGCGGCGCACACACTGCGCCTTGTAAGCGGTGCTCGGTCCCGGGCCCATGTGGATTGTCATATTAGCAAAGGGCCCGTCGGGAATGCAGCCACCACCGGTTCGATCTGCTATTACAGAAGGAACCTTTCCATCAGTTATGGGAAATTGTGGAGAAAGACCAGAAGTGTTAAGGGGCAGAAACTCTCCATTCCCTCCAAAACCAGTCTCGGTATCGAAGACGGGGGAGTTGAAGAAATCATCAGCTGAACCGGAGTCCAGGGACCAGTCCCAGTAGGGATGAGCGCCGCGGAAACCGCAAGCTCTGATTTCCTGCTCATAGTTCCAGATGAGGAGTCTATGTCGTGGGTAAAAAAGACCCTCAGATATCGTTAGTGAGGCCATTGCTTCCTCGATGCTGATGAGCATCTTCACTTACAACGAAATGTGTGTCGTTCGTCTGACGAATGTGATCACCCATGAAATCTTCAAACCGATTTCGGGCGCCCGGAAGATCTACCTTGGAGGTCAAGGCAGGCTTCTCGAGCATGCATTTAACTGCTTTGAGGTATGAAGTCCTCTCAGCAACGGAGAGGCTCCGCCTAACAGCAAGCTGTTAGTTTCGGATGTAAGGGACGGCTGATCACCAACACCTACCATTCTTGGCGAACAAGCATTGGCCGACATGGTGATGCATATGACCCAATCGGTAAACAAAGAAACGTTGCAAACAGTAGAAAATCCCACGGAAAATGCATGGCGCAAAACAGAGGCAATATAAATCTTAGTGAGTGACTATGACATTCAGTTGCAGGTCAATGGAATAGAGTTTGTATTATCACTGGCGCTCGCGTTATATTTAACTCTCTCTTGAAGATGAATCTTCACGATATTGCACTTCGCACTCTGAAGCTGGCGTAACCCGGCACAGTGGATCGGCGCCGTGCAGCGGTCGCTAGTGGGGCATATCGGTGGTGTCGGGGTCTTCGGCTCTTATTAAGAGCCGAGCATCCCGAAATATGGGTTCGGGGCCTTATCCCGGGGCACAGCCAAAAGCCGTCCCTCATCTGAGATCATTTGGGCTCTTTCGGTGTGGCCCACTGCGCAAACTGTCCGCCCAATTGCGACCGCTGGTTTCAGTTGCCAGTGCGATGTTCTCCATGCTGCTGCTGCTCAGCGCCCCTGTAACCAAAGTGGCCGCTGGACTCCGACTTTGGACGATGACCGTAGCAGAGGCCTCCGCAAGGTTCTTCGTCACCTGTCTTCAACACCTGATACCAACGATACAAAATACAAAGCTCTTTACACAATGCTTGGAGCGAGAGACCATGCGCATTACGAGGAGCTTCAATCAAACCAATGGCGATGAGATCCATGTTGAGAAAAGTGGCTAGGCTTTTGGTGCTCTGCTGAAAACGTTCGACGGAGACGAAGCGAGATGACATATTCAACGAGGGAAGAAAAGTTCGAAATAATCGAATAGTCTTCCAGGTGAGAATTGGAGATTGGCAAATTTATATTATCAACATCTATAATACCAACACGTCTCTCTATCGGCGATCAACAGTGGTCTATCCAAGGGAGATATGAGTCTCAAAGTCTGTACGGAAACTCATTAATTATGCAGCGTTGTATTTCGCCATTATTTTCTAACCTTATCCGGTGTTCACACGGCTTGGTGATTAGCCCTGTGATTCAGCTGCTCGGAAATTTCAGAAAGCCTCAGGTCGTCCACGTCTTTATCAACAGAAGATGACACAACGCGACCGGGAAACCACACATTGAAGGCTCCCGAACACAGGAACATCAGAGCAGTGTCCAGGCAATAGAGGTACACCTCATTGCTCTGCAGCGTACCTGTCTGCCCCTCTGCAAACTCGGCAACCCTGAAGATGGATCGGACGAGGATGAGGAGGGAGGTGAAGTAAAGCACCAAGATGCATTCCTTCCATGGCCTAACCCCTGCAAGACTGAGCGTCGTCGGTTGTCGCAGGATGCGGTAGTGGAAGACGGAGATTGACGCCATGAAGCATGCGAAGAAGAGAATTTGGATGCCGAGGCCAACGAGGATCATGTCCTGGCCGCGATCAATCCCGCTTTTGTCGTCTGCGCCGGACAGAATCCCTCCTCCTGGTGAAAGTCAGAATAAAGTGCTTATTGTGCATACCAGACGACTGACCTATACATTGGAAAGCGAAGGAAAGAACATCCCCGAACACGAAGATTTTCGTCAGCCATCTCACAGGGATGAAAGACAGATGCTCGGCACGGAGAGAGCCGATGATGCGACCTAGCAGCATGTAGATGGAGGCAGCATACAGCGCGGGGGCGAGTAGCGGCCCCAGGGTCTGGATGATGAAGGGTATCTGCGACCAATCCGGAGTTTCGGCTGCGTTGACCGCGCGGGCTGAGTACCCAACTACCTGAACTGTGGAAATGTCAGCCAAACAATTCATAACATGGAGTTCTTCTGTGATCTCTTACAAATGGAGCCTACGACGAATGGGATGAAATACCATGTCCTCGCACGGATGGTTTGGAAGACATGGAGGATGCTGCTGATACCAAATAAGGCAGCGAATGTGATCGCAGCAGCGAGCGAGGGGTCATAATGATATTTTGAAGGAGGTTTCTGCATTTCTGACATCTTTATTGTTTTATCGTCCTTGCTGTTCTTGCCGTTCCGAATGTGCTCTTTGTTTTTATGTTGGTTGTCAACTGCTGATTGAATAGCTACTCCAGGAACACACCTCTGCGGGGATACCGGGAGCATGGCATCGTTTATACTCCACTACGTAAGTAGACTTCTAGACCATTCAACGTCTAGTTTGCCAAATTGCAAAGATGCGCTGAAGTTGATGGTAGGGCGGTGCTCGGGACTTTCTTTCCTCTTTAACACGCCTCGGTGCTTATGCACTGCCCGAGCCGGCGCCAAAACGTGAACACGAGAAAAAGCGCAGTAAAGCCGCGCGCATGTCTGTAAATTTCATTAGTGCCATCTTATTGAATTTTCCCGGACTCTGTTGTGGCTTGGAGATGACGAGTATCTGGCTTCCATGTTGTTGCTGATGGTGGTCTGCAACCCAGCAACGTTGAGCCTCCCTGCCTCCCTGCCAGCACATCCTGTCACCGAACCCATGATCAGCTGAAATGCAACTTGGGATGGCAGCCACGGTCAATCTTGGCTACATTGGAGCCAATCTATCCGTTCGGCCCCTGAGTGGCCGTCTTGGCTGATAGAGTCGCGCGGGGAACCACACCCGATCCCAGAGCAGGGGTTTCATGGTATTGCAATCCCGCTCTGGTCCAGAGAAACACAAGAGTGGACTAGCAGGACCACGCCCGCAATCATGATACTCGTCCGGGTTCTCCAGATTCGGGCCCGAGAAGAAGGGTCTGGATCGTGTCTACAGCGCCACATGCTCAAAACCCCGAGAGAGAGATGGGGGACCACGGGAAAGGCTTTGTGACGGATGAGTCCGTTCAACTGCGGATGTAGGCCCATAAATTCGTCGGGTCTCATGCTTTGAGTTAACGGCCCTCATGGCCGATTTGCATGAGTTTCGGCAGTTATTAAGAGCCGAAGCGGACCGCAAATATCTGCGGATCGGAAATTTTGGACCATTCTTCTGGGACGACGCTCAATACACAAGGCATTGTGCCCTACATATAAGGATCATGTAGATGAGAACAACAAGACCTCTTATTGCATTCTGACAGACACACACTCACTGCGTTGAAACTTGGATTTTCCAACTGTCTTTAACTTCCCTTCAACACAATGTCTTGGGTCTTGATCCTGTCCGTAATCTTCGGCGGCGGCGCGGCAGAGATGTTCAGACCAGATGATCACTCAACCTATCTCAACGTAAGACTATTTGATTGAATATCTCTGGCAATTTACATACTTATGTTGTAATCAAGACTCGTGTCCCGTCCCTGTACAACCTCTCCTCGGACCAAACCACCGGCTCCTACTGGACCAGCTCCTTTCTGACAACCACCTCGGGCTCTCAATACCTTGCCCTATCTCACATCCTGGGCGATGTCTGCAAGTCTTCTCTTTTGGAGTTTGAATCCCTCGACTACTGGAACAATATCCAATACGCCACCCCTCAAAACACCTCGCTCGCCGCCCCTGGATTCAAAGTCTCAGCTGGCACCTGCGGCGTCGGATCCACGGCAAGCGACCTGATCTCCAGCATGTACACCCACGCCTCAACCCCCGAGTATGCTTTCAACCTCACCTGGGAGAGCACTTCCAAAGTGCTCCTGAACGGTGGAAACGCGGCCTTCACCTTCGGCCCGGGCTTCGCAAACTCCACCGAATGGTCCATCCCCGCCGCCACCGTCTCCGGCTCTCTCTCCCTGGGCAACACCAGCCACACCGTCGACCCGGCCGCATCCATGACGTGGTATGATCACCAAAAGGGCGCCGGGGCACCTCAGAACTGGACTTGGTTCCAGCTGCACTTCCCCGGCTCCTCAACCAAAGCCAGTATCTGGGCGTACGACTTCGGCAGCCCATCTTTCGGCACCTATCGCTTCGCAACAGTCAGAGTGGGCAAGGAGGCGCAGTATGTGATCCCCTTCGACATGGAAGCCGGCGGCGCCTGCCGCTCGTGGACCTCTGCCAAGTCCAACATTACTTACCCTCAGAATTGGACGCTCAACTTTGAAAACGGTGACGTGCTTGAGATCCAGTCGATGCGAGGCGATCAGGAGATATATGGCTCCAGGCAGCTGAGTGACACGGTTTACGCGGGGTATGTCAATGTGTCTGGGAGCTTCTTGGGGCAGGAGAGGGGATTCGGGGTCGTGGAGATGATCAAGCTTTACTGAGTTACCTGCCCACGGCATCGCGTTGTGTGGACGGCGTGAGACAGGGCTCTTGTGTGGCCGCAAAGTTTCTCTCTCTCTCTATCTCTCTTTCCCCAAGCTAGTGTAACACAAGATCAGACGCGATCTCCTCGCAGATAGGGAACGAAGAACTGAAACAGAACTGAGTCAGAAACGCTCCCAAGAACTAGGCGGCCTTGTATCAGATGACTAGGAATACATGTGTGATCTTCGGGGGTCGCTCTTTCAAAGTGAAGGACCTGGGAAAGGTAAAGTAAAGTTCCCCAACTTTTGCGTTGTTGGATCTTCTCCGGGAAACAACCCAGAATTTTCTCTAAAAGCGAGGTTTCCGAAGCACCTGAACTGAATAAACTCACTCGATATTGATCGTGACCTTAGGGGCTTCTTCCGTCACGGTCTGATACGCCTCACGAGTTTGGCTTAGCATCTACGACATTTCTTTTGTGCTTCTTCAGCCATGAAGTTTTCGTGATAATTACCCATCTTATTCAATTTCATACAGACTTCGTGTTATCAGTGACCAACAAACACGAAGAACCCTGCTAATGAGATGGATCAATACTAGTACCTCTAGGTCATGTTAAAATGAATTCCCTTGATTATTATCCATCTTATCATTGTTGCCATTGTCGTCGTCGTCTCCGTACTTATTGCTGCTGTTGTCCTCCCATAAGTGTCTGCCAGAATGTCCAGTAGTGTTCGTCCGAATAGCAAAACTCCACACAAATCCATCCCAAAGAATGCCACGACACTCACTAGACACCACGACCACGGGCTAGCAGTAACATATAACCATGACAGTCGAACCAGCGAGGACATTAAGCAAGCACACAGACTCATACAATACGTCCAGGAGACTTTGATCCTACATATTCTGCACACAGACATGCAATGTCGATCTCACGATGGGACGACAGCCGCACAGGCTATCTGGACGGCAGTGAAGGCCGTCACGCACCGTCCGAGCGAGATCGCATGGCATGCCGCAACGCTAGAAGAGATGAGACCGAAAAAGGTTACCCACAACGTCTACCTGAACTAACAAATGCTCCTCAGAGATTACTCCCACGTTTGGGACGTCATAGTAAAGCCCAGATAGTCGTGGTTCTGTCCCGGGCAGTAGCAACCATTTTTCTGACACAATAGTGACAGGAGGGTAATGATACCAGGGAAACTGTGCTGTTGTCACTAATCTACCACTCACTCGGAATGGTATAACTTCCAACTCCGCCCTTCCCAAGACGGGAATCGAAAAGCTTGTGTTGCCAGCTGCTCTCAACATGGTTAGACGACAACACCGGAGGCAGTCAAGCGACGACTCGGCGCGTTCATCTTCAACGATTCGACCACGTTTTTCGGCTCAAACCCTGCGCAGCTCCTATAATCTCCTAGCGAGACGTAGCCCGGCTTGCCGTGATCCTCCTGGGTATGTGCCGCTCGGACAAATATCAGATCATCGGAGACACGTCACCACCACTCTCAACTCAGGAGACAACACACGTTGACCGTCCGGAATGTTGAAATCCGCCGACTCCGCTGAGGATACTCCATCGTACTCTGAGGATGCGTACACCGACAGGTCAATGATAGGCATGCAACATAAAGACACCAATGCGGTCCTTCCACGGTTCAGAGATGATGAGCTGCAGCCCTGGAGCTGCGATCATTGCTCAACAACCAAGCAAGTCCCCCCTCGCTACCCAGCTTGCAGTCCAGCGGCAAAGCCTGTGGCCTAGGAGGTTAGAGGCTATTGACAACTCGCCATCAGGGGCGATATAAGCAGGCAGGCGAGGCCAAGCAACACACCCGCATAACCACCATGCTCGAGACGCTACGACAACCAATCAAGTCCATTTCGCAATGAGCCGGATCACTGACATGCCGTGCTATTAGCGTGCTTATCGCGACAGAAGGATGGGAAATGGGAGGCAAAATGGCAGATTGTTCGAGCCGGTACTCGCTTTGTATGTCCCGGAGCGAGCAAGAAGTACGGAATATGGGGGCTGAAAAAAACGGCCGGTACCCGTACAGGGTTGCCATTGCATACGTTTGGGCATGACCCCAGGGATTGGTTCTCGCGTAGCGGCTGCTCGCCAACCGGTATTGCGACCTCGAAACACGATACCCCGTCCAGAGCAAGGTACCCGGCCGTCCGTCCGGAGAATTTGGGCCGTCCTGGTCGGATCTAAACCATCTCATTGGAAACCATAGATTCGAAGATGACGCTTCCTCCTCTGAACCAACCGCGATGATCGTTTGGATCTTGCCGGCCCTACCAAGCCCCAGACTTTCGCCATTTGCCACGGCAGTTTAATCAGTCCGGAAAGGAAATCAAATCGTCGGTGGAAGTTAGAGTTAAGCTCAGTTCTCGCCAGTGAACGTCGGCTGAGCCGTGATGCAGGAAAGCAGGCGCTGGTTTCCTTTCTTTTTTTCTTCTTCCTAACCGGCCGAACCTCATCCCCACATCAACGCGCCGAAGCAGGGATGCCATGCGCCATTCGGTGGCTTGTTGAATGGTTCCGCGCGGAATGGACGACTCTTGTGCAATTTGCTGATCCTCCATGAAGATCCGCCTGTCTGTAGCCAGCCGAACCGCACGTCACTTGGCTCATCCAAGATGGATTGCTGCAGTCGTCTGCCCCGTATCATTTGGCTTGTCGGCAGTTGCCAAAAGGAAAGTGCGACCGTTTCTAGGAATCATTACCTAGGCCCGAGACGCCGGGATATCAAGAGCTGTCTTGATGCTCCAAGGCTTTGGCTTACAATAGAGTGACAGATTGGCTGTCA